AATTGGCTCATATAAATTTGAGGTTGTATGTAGTTTCACTTACCTTGGATCAGAAGTTAACTGTAAAAATGATATCAGTGATGAAATAAAAAAGCGTGTACTTGCAGCAAATAAATGTCTCCATGGCCTTAGGAAACACCTGAAATCCCAATTAATACCCAGGAAAACCAAAACTATGATGTATAAAGTACTTATAAGATCAGTGCTATCTTATGCCTCTGAGACCTGACCACTGTCAAGATCGGATGAAAAACTGTTAAGTATATTTGAAAGGAGGATCTTGAGATATATCTTTGGACCAGTGGAAGAAAATGGAATATGGAGGAAGAGGTATAACCATGAGCTATACAAACTGTTTAATAAACCAGACATTATTGGATTTATAAAGGTGAAAAAGCTTGAATGGGCTGGACACATAATACGTACCAGCGAGAATATAACCATCAAGAAAATGCTTAATACTAAACCAGAAGGAAACAGGAGAGTGGGAAGACCAAGGCTAAGATGGGAAGAATGTGTGTGGCAGGACATAAGAATTTTGGGTGTAAAGAACTGGAGGAATGTAGCATCGAATAGAGAAGAATGGCGAGCAATCCTGAGGAAGGCCAGGGCTCACAAAGGGCTGTCATGCCAGTGAGGACGACGACGACCACGACCACCACCCTCAATGTACACCCACTTGCAATTAATGTGTAGATTAGTACTAAGAGGCCTCTTCCGGGATTTTTTTTTGTATGAGGATAGGTTATTTTTCATATTTGTTCAGGAAGAAGATAGGAATTTGAATTTGGCCTTTGAAGCTTAATGTAAGAGATGGGAAAAATGCCTGACGCGTACTTTCTCCCAGCTTTTGTTCAGTGATTGATATTACCACCTTCTAACAGATGCATCATTTTAACTTAAGATGGAAACATTCAGTTTCTGAATTGTGTTCTTTTTGGATCATAAAATAGTGGTTGAAATCCAGAAAGCCAGTAATTCTAAGTGTAATCTTTCATCATCAGAACCATTTATAACTGATTAACTGTCTGAGCTGTGGAACCCCTTGAATATTAATTGAAGTTGTTTCTGTTAATGTAGGGTTCCTGGAGGAGCTGAGCTCTGTAAGACAGCACACAGTGAGTGAAATCCCAGCCGCTCATAATCGCAATCCACCTGTATTGGTACACTGTACAGCTGGAGTGGGGCGTACTGGAGTAACGATACTGAGTGATTTACTGCTTTACACACTTGATCACAACCAGGTAATAACCAGTTTGGGAGATGCAGACATGTAGCATCCATAGAGGTTTGTCTGGTTTCAAACCATATTTGATCTGGTTTTTCAAAAATCGTTTGTGATTAAGACCAAGAGGATGATCAACACAAATCCTTTTGTGCCATAATGTTGACCTTGCCTCCATCCTGTACACCTCATTTTCATAAATAAGGCTGTCAATGCCATATCATTGTGTATATAGTGGAAAAATTCTGCAACTTAATTCCAGAATACAAGTCCTGGAATTGTAACATCCAATGCAGGCCGCTCCATAGCTCAAGCGGTTAGTCTCTGGCTTCCCACCATGGTGGCCCGAGTTTGATCCCGGGTCTGGTCAAGTTGGATTTGTGGTGGACAAAGTGGTGTCAGGTCAGGTTTTCTCCAAGTACTTCGGTTTTCCCTGCCAATCTTCATTCCACCAATTGCTCCACAATTACCCTCACCTATCATCTGGGGCTGGTACAATAGGCCAGAAGTGGCCGCAGTACAAGGGACTTAGTCCCACCCCACTAGCAATAAAAGACATCCAATGTAGAGAAAATTGCAATAATTTCAGATACCAGGTCCTGCATGGATGTATAATCATTACATCTGGTATGGAGGAAATGCCACTGCCATGTTCTAGTTAGTTTAGTTCTCCAGTCATTTAAATCACAGTGATTACTGTATGTACCAGCTGCTGTAACATTCAGAACCTCTGCATTTTGCCCACTTTGTGTGTTTATGTGTTTCATTATTATTATTATCAGTACTCTGTCAGACGACAGGTCCACAGTCTCTTCCAAAACAGTTCCTCCACTTAATGCGATCTTTGTCTCCAGAGGAAACATCTCGCAGACATGGTATCTCTGTTTTTGGAAAGAGACTCTCCAGGAAAGTTTTTCCATTTGCTTTCCACATCGCAGTACAACAGCCGTTCAAACCACTCTGGTCACGCCTGTTGCTATACGAACTTGAACCATCTCGAGCAACATTTGCTCTGTGCTTCGAGTCGCTGCTGATGACGCTGCTTCCGGCATCAGTTTTTGGTTTTTGGTGTCTCTCTTCGTCTGATGCCTACCCTTTGACCTGTCCAGCAAGGGAGTCCCTGCCAGTAGCTACGCTACCGCTGGTATAGCTCTCAGGGTCCTTGGCATACTCAAACCCCCTCACCACGATAAGGTGGAGACACCAACGAGAGGGTGTGTTTCATATGATTCAAATAATAAACTGATTATTTTCCCAAACAGCATTAACAGGTCAGTTTTTTAATGGGCATCACTGTGCTTCATATGAGGTAGGAACTGAATTTTTAAATATTATTTAATTAAACGTAACCCTTCAAAGGGTTACATTTATGATTTTGATCAGGTTCTTTCGTGAGAAGACAGTCACGTATAACTACAGTATTTGAATATATTCTTGTGGCATAAATTAATGACTCAACTAAACAACAAATAAATGACTAAGTGAATCTTGTCAGAAAGTATCAGTAAGTGTTCTTCAGTTATAATTGATTTCCTCTGCACTAAATAATTTGTGCAAGTGATGTGAAAGCATAAATTCTGAATAAAAACTAGTGCTGTAATTAATTTCAATTTTTTTTTATTCCACACAGGAACTGGATATCCCACGTGTAGTTGCACTTCTCAGACACCAGAGGATGCTGATGATTCAAACGGTTGCCCAGTATAGATTCGTGTACAGCCTTCTTATCTATTATTTGAAACACTCTCGTCTGATCTGATCTCTTATTAAGTTGTGGGATGGCAGTGCAATCAGAGAAATATTAATTATGCTACAGAAGGAAATGATTTGGTCAGCAGACTTTATATACAGTGAACAGCACCATGAGTTCAAAGTGCAAACATGAAGTACTGAAAGTAAAAATAACTGGGATTATTGCAATAATTTATACCCTGCATGTTAAATTAGTAAAGGCAAGATCTTTATTCTGTTATTAAGGAAAACATTTGTTTGGTATGGCACAGATTTGTCTAATGTTGTCCAAGGTGTAGCTGATCTACACAACATTTTGGGAATTTGATCTGGTTTAATTTTCAGATGACATTTTATTGGCAGTTTTTATTTTATTTTGTGTATTTTATTTCTTGAGGCAATGAGTAAAGAAAATCAGAAGCTAAAGAAAAATGTGCTTAAAGCATTAATCAACATAGTCCACCAGTGATTTGTTAAAGAACACCGTTTTGTGAGGTTATGATGCCATGGCAAGCTGGAGGCTACAGCTTCCTCCAAAATGTTGGCAGCTTTCTTCCTGACTACATGTCAAACTGTAGAGGCTGTAGTCTTTTGTAAGTTGTCTCTTTTAAAAGATGATCATCGACTCATATCTTCCTTTATTCTTTTGCAGAATATCACTTTCTTCTGTAGTCATATAGGAGCCGGGATGGATCAGTCAGTATAGTGAGAGGCTAGATGGCTGGGGTTCAATTCTTGGCAGGTGAAAGAGGTTTTCCTTAACTCCACAGTGTCCAGACCAGCTGTGAGGACCACCCAGCCTCCTATCCAATGGGTACTGGGTACTCTTTCTCCAGGGGTGAAGCGATTGGGCTGTGAAGCTGACTACTCTCCTCCATCCAGTGCTGAGGGAAAGAATAGTGGAGCTATACCTCCACTCCCTCATGTGTCATAATGGCATAGTCCTTAATTAATTAAACACAGGGACATCTTTGCTTTTTTACCTCCTGTAGACAAACCATATAAATAAATATATAAATACTCATGTACACCATATAAATGAATTTATAGTAATAAATAAAAATACTGGATATTATGATAGGAACAAAAAAAACATACATCCTACCTGATGACTAGCAGCAAGTTTGCATAATGTATGAAGTGTTAATAAGTAAACCAAGGTTTTGATCCTAGTCATTGCTGCAGAAATAAAATAAAATAAAGTCCCACCTAAGCATGGAGGAGATTCAGCTGCTAAAACTTTTCAGAGATGTATAAGGCACTGGACAATATTTAACACAGTTTTGTGCCAGACAAACCCATAGACATTCACTGACAAATGCCAATGACAAAATACCTTTTCCAACATTTGTATGGAAATCAGTATGAGCTTTGATGCTCTGAGCACCGAAGAATGACTTCTTTCTATCATGCGTCCACATGCAAATGGACAATTATAATTCTGTCATATCTTATAACAAAAGAATTCTTACACATAATACATTATGTTCTTGTGACAATTTAGAGAATTATTCTATAGCTGCTGTTCACTGTTTGTGGTTAAAGAGTTCTATTTCGGATTACTTCAAAGATATCTGTTATGGTTTTTCTTGTCCTTTTGTAAGAATATCCCTTGATATTGTAAGACTGTTTTTAAATATAATTAAATATTTAATATTTTACTTGTAAGATATGAGCTTGCAACCTGGCTTTCAATGATTACCAGTGACATTTTACTATTGGGAGCTTTCAGTGATAATAAATGAAGTAATTATGTAATATGAAAATAATGATACTCATTTTTGTCATTCAGGAATAGAGGATTTTAAATTTTCCAGATGGTAGCCAGATTTTAACTCAGGAATAAAGATGGTGCATTGCCTGGCCAGTAAAGGTTTGTTTAGTGGTGTGATGATATATCAAATATTAATAACTACGTAATAACTGATTATGTTCTCAAGGTGATATTAGACAAACGGATGGGAAACGTTGACATACATAATGTACTTCCGAATAGTTTTTGTTCATTTTATATGCATTTCTTATAGTTTCAAGGGTTGGTAATTAATTATAATCCTTTCACTGCTATAATGTGTTACTTTCTATACATGAATCGGAGGATGAGAATCTGTATTTTATATTAAGAACTTGAATTCACTCAAAATTAAACTTAATTTTTGCCCTAATCTGAAACAGATCCTTGAATATAATTGATATGTTCAAGTATCTCTCTTCATAAAATCAGTTTCATTAAAACTCTTTTACTGTTCTGCTGCACTTTAAACAATGCTTGTTTTACGATCAGTGGTTCCTACCAAATGAGTGGAGTGCTGTAATATGGAACTTTAGTTCTGAGACACAGAAAATTTCAAAAGTATTTGGCACAAAACACTAACAGTCTCACTGCCGTCTTTGAGCCAATTGTCTAGAAAATGTGGGAGCCTCAGCATCTCACAACCCTGTGGGCCTCCACGGCCTGATACAGGGATAGCTTTACCTTTTATAAAATATGTAGACATGATCAATTATTCATTGATTGATTTGCTGCTAAATTATTTAATGATGTCTGATGTTATGTGGAACGGTTTTACTTTATGATACAGAAGTTAGTAATAAGTTAAACATTTAATGATACTATTTCAACTGCTGAGTTATATAGTATCACATAATGTGTGAAGATGGTTCTGAATGCTTAATGAACAAGACAATACTGCCTTGAAATAATTTTGTGTCATTCATCTGGTGGGACAAAGGAATCTGCAAGAATCCAAAGGATAGCAATTTTTATTGGCAGAATGTAAAGGATGGCCTGCTTGGGAATTGCAGGAGCGGTGAGAACAGCTCCAGAAGCTGCAATGGAAGTCCTCCTTTTACTCTCCCCCCCCACTGCACTTGCAGGTGGAAGCAGAGACCAAGTTAGAAAATTACAGACTATGTTGCAGTAATCAATGGAAACATAAATCCAAAGGTTTTTGACATGCATGCATGACTCAGGACATGAAGAAAGAACCAATCCTACAGATGGGGTGTGATAAAATGATACTGAGACATGTCTGTGATAAACCCTTCATGATCAGATTCCCTGATACACATGACTGGAAAGAGGGGGTTTCAACCCGACAGAAAAGGGGGACTAATATGGTACACAGATGGTTCCAAGACCTAAATAAAAGCACTGGAGCTGGGGTGTATTGCCATGGTACAGGGCAGAAACTTAGTTTTAGCCTTGGGCAGTACACAGCAGTGTTCCAGGAAGAAGTATATGTCATTAAGGCATGCACAGTTTAGAATCTAAATAGGAACAAATAACAGATCATCTCAGAACTAGTCTGGGACTGCCACAAATTTCTCATACAACTGGCCAAACATAACAGAGTTCAACTGAGATGGGTGCCAGGTAATGAGGGTATTGTTTGTAATGAAATGGCAGATCAGCTGGCAAGAACAGGATCTGAACATCTGTCCATAGGACCACAATCAGCAATGCACCATCTCAGTTGAAGTTGCCAGAAAGTGGTTGCACTGAAGAAACAGGAATCACAAAAAGAACAGTGGGACTCCACAGCTGGTCTCAAACAGGCAAAGGGACTTCAACAGGGCTCTCTGCCAGAAGAACAAAGGATCTGTTGAAGTTAAACAGAGACCAATTAAGATGGGTGGTAGGACTATTTACAGGATACTGTCACCTAAAAGCACAACTTTTCAAGCTGAAATTGACAGGTGACCCCACTTGTGAAAGTTGCCTAGATGAAGATGAATCAGCCATGCATATCCTATGTGTGAGGCCATAGCTTATCTAAGATTTCATCACCTGGGCCAGTTGTTCTTGGAACCAAGTGACTACTATGATGTCCCTCTAAACAAAGTCTTACATTTTATTTGAAGTGTAGGATTAATAAAGGGTTAATCAAAGGGTAAATACAATCGATCGTTGGTGGTTCGGGGTGCAAGGGCTGGATTAATATGGCCCATGGCCATAATGGGCAGAATGTGGACAGGGTTCCTTCAGTACAAGTCAGATGGTCTGCTGCTGTTCCAGTTAGTCTGATGGAAGTGGTGGGGCGCAGAATTAATACAATATGCTATGAGGTGCCAAGAAAAAGGACTTTTTAAAAATGAAATGACAATAAATCTACTAAACTGAATAAAAAAACCTTTCTGTACACATATTTTGATATGTTCTGCACAATTTATATGACTTTCATTCATATCTGCAGGGCCTTTTATTTGCACCATTTCTTTTAAAAGGCTTCGATCTTCTTGTTGGATTTGAGGTTCTCACAGTAGTGGTTGTGAAGAGACTATCAACTGACATTTTGGAGTAACATGTCACCTCCATCTTCAGGGTTTAATAGTAAGCTGAGAAAGATGCCAGCGTGAAAGCAGAGTGTGGCATTATATCCCATATTTCTTGCATCTCATAGTATATCTTTATACAGTGAAGAATATAATATTTCAAGGATGTCCAAATGCTGATGATCAGGTGAACAGTGGTTAAAATGTAGCCAGCTGACATATTTCTATTCACTAACAGTGAAAGGGCTGATCATGGTGGCCATGCAGTCTATGGCGTGAACTGTCTTTGCACACTTGACCACTGAGTTCGTGGGTTTGAATCCCACCCAAGGCATGGATGTATGTTTATGTGCTTTTATTCTGTGTTTGTGTTGTTCTTTGTGTAGGTAGAGGCCTTGCAATGGGCTGATCCCTCATCCAAGGAGCCCTGCTGACTATGTATAGGATCAAGAAACTGAAAAGGCAGCCAAGGCCCAACAAAGGGCTATAGAGCCATAATAATAAATAACAGTGAAAGGGTTATTTAAAACACAGCAAATGTAATAGGCTGTGATAAACTTAAGTTTCCATATCAGAACACTATCAGAATTGATTAATTACAATTGGAGTGAATGGATTTTATAATAATTTTGGTTTTCCTTTATATTTTTGTTGTGTTGCAGCTATTTATTTTAGTGCAAGTACTGTGAATGTTATGAGTGAACTTTTTTGCATTGGACTGAAGTTTTTATGGATTTATTGACCACCTTTTGCTGTAAGATATAGCACACATTTGTGAAACGGCTTTGGTACTTAGGCTCTTATTTTTTTCATTGCTCATTTAAATAATTATTTATTTTGGCCATTGTCATATCTCATTTGTTTACAAATGATATTTCCAGGATAGAGAAATACAACTTGCACAGTATGAAAGAAACTTTCATTGTTCTCTGCTAGCCTGCATATTCTTATTATTAGGAAACATAAGACAAAGATAACTTATGCCATATTAACCTCTTTAAGTTTTATGCTCATGTCAGTAGCTAGACAGTAACAACATTGTGACCTGAAATGTGTTTGTCACTTCTCTTTATACCACAACATATTTCATGTCACTTCTAATGATGTAAACTTAATTATGCTACTGAGACGTGTGTGAACATAATTCAAAAAGTTTATATTAGTACTTATTATAGCAATGATTGTAATTTTTTGTTTGTGTGAGCCATTTGCTGTAGAGCCATGTGTATGTCGATTACTGTGGGATCATGCAAGCATGATATGGCATTCATGTATTTTAATATTACAAATTTTTATTTCCATAGACACAGTCTAGTTCCTTTCTGTTTTTATTTTGTTGAATTGATTACAAATGTAAACTACAGAAAGTAAATTTCTGTTTGTTACGTAACTATGATTAGTTGGTCGTGTAATGACGTATAATTGTTGCCACGTAGGTTAGCTGACTTACATTGGAAGGATGTTGGGTACTGGCTGTCCTAACAGGTTTGCTTTCCTCAGTCCCTCCAGAAAAATACAGTATGGCCTAGTTACTTTGATTCCATTTCATATTTTATTTTTTA